CATGGGTAAAAAGGTGTCAGCCCCAGGACTTAGTGGGTGTGATTTGGTATTTGACACTGTAAGTGACTATCTGAACCAAGATTTTTTAATGAGGAACAGAAACCCAGTCGTACTACCTAAAACAGGAAGGGTACTGTTGTTTTTCTGACATAATTTTAGACTTCTAAAAAGTCATACAAATAGCACAGAGGTTTCCCAGATACCCTTCACCCAGCTCTCCCAAATGCTAACACCAAAAACCCACAGACGGTGATGAAGACCAGGAAATTAACAATGACGTGGTCCTGTTAAGGGACTGTGTAAACTCTCAACGGTTACCCCACTCATGGCTTTTTGATCCTTCCCACATTGAGGTGTCATGTCCCCTTTTTTCTCGTCCAGTCTGGGGCAGTTGCTCAGTCTGTCTTTGTCTGTCATGACCTTGATGCTTTTGAAGAGTCCAGGCCAGTTATTCTGTGACGTGTCTCTCTGGTGGAGTCCCCTATGTTTTCTCGGGGTTAGGTGGAGGCTCTGCGTCTTTGGCAAGAACCCCACAGAAGCGGAAGGGAGCTGTGTCCTCAGTGTATCATGTTGAGAGAGTCTTTGTGTAAGTGATGTTAACTTGGGTTGCTTGGCCAAGGTGGCATCTGCCAGGATTCTCCCTGGGAAAGGTATTTTTTTTCAAAGGGGCAGGTTATAAAAGGCGGTGTGTGGAATCTGAGAGCAGCAGGAACTGGCACCCAGGATCCGAGGCAGCTGCTCCCTCCGTCTCCCCCAACCCCTTCCGCTCTTGCCACAGACTCTCTCTGATTTTTGCTTGTCTTTACCCAATGGCCTCCTGCCTCTGCCTCTCAGAACAATGGCCTTTCTCAGCTGCTCCAGGCACTTATGAAGGCTGCCACTCCAGAATGGCAGCCACAGGCCCTGGCTTGTGTGTCCTGGTGGTCTGGAACCTGCCACGCACTCTCTGAAACCTCTCAGATCCTTTTCCAAATTCCTAGAAAAGAAAGCATAGGACACGTCAGCCTGGGTCAGGTCCTCCCCTGGTTCCACAGCTCTGGACAAGACTGTGGGGTCCCAATGCTGCTAGGATGGGCCTGGGCTGGGTGGACATTTCCCTAAGTGTTCAGTGTGTGTGTGTTTCCTTCCTCTTTCCTTATGCAACAGGCATGTCCCTGAACACCTGTGCAGGTGACGTTTTCACTTAGGGGACTTTGCTGTCCCGAGGCCAGATCTGCACGAAGTGAAGATTTGACTGGTGTTAGGAGTGGCAGTCCTCCGGGGTGTCATGTATGTCCTTTGCGGTCTGAATGTAGGAAGTGCCTGTGACATGAGGTGCCCGTACATGACACTGCTGCAGACACCTGTCTGCCCTCTCATGACTGGGAGTGTGGCCCGAGGATTTTAACCTCACAGGGAGCTGGTTAAAAATGCAGACTCTGTAGTCTCACTCCATCCCTGCGTCAGGATCCTCAGGCGGCTCTGATGCACACAGTGGTCTGAGAGGTGCTGCTCTAGGTAGAAGTGGTTTTGTGGGTTTTTTAGTGGACAATGTGTGGCAGGTTCTATTTCATTTGAGAATGAAATTATAAAGGAGTTGCTAATACAGAGATTTTAAGCTGGTAAGTAGGTGCAGCTGTGTCATGTAATGATGGGATGCTGTCTGAGAAGTGTGTCATTAGGCAGTTGTGTTGCTGTGTGCACATCGCAGGGGCACTCACACACACCTCAGCGGTGCAGCCTGCTACATGCCTGGTATGGTGTGGCTTGTTGTCCTCAGGCTATATGCCTGTTCAGCGGAATACTGAATACCATAGGTCAGCGGTTGTCAACCTGTGGGTCACGACCTCTTTGGGGGGTCGAATGACCTTTTCACAGGGGTTGCCTAAGACCATCTTGCACATCTTGCAGATATTTACATTACGATTCAGAGCAGTAGCAAAATTATAGTTATGAAGTAGCAGTAAAAATAATTTTATGGTTGGGGGTCACCACAACATGAGGAATTATATTAAAGGGTCGTGGCATTAGGAAGGTTGAGAACCACTGCATAGATGATGTAACTCCATGGTACAATCTTTGTGATCTAAGTGTGACTCCAAGTCTTTGCGTATCTAAGTGTTTCTAAACATAAACTTAGAAAAAGTGCAGTAAAAATACAGTGTAAAAGATTAAAAGGGGGTACACCTGTCTAGGGCACTTTCCGTGAATGCGGCTTGCAGGACTGGAAGTTGCCCTGGGCAAGTCAGTGTGGAGGTGCTGAGTGAGTGAAGGCTGAGGTCACTACCTTACCCTGGTGAAGACTTTAGGAACACCGGGCACTTAGGCTCCACTGAATTTGTAAAAATGTATTTTTCTTTCTTCAATAATAAATTAATCTTAGCTCACTGTAACTTTTTCACTTTATAAATGTTTAGAGTTTTAAAAACTTTTGACTTTTTTTTTTTTTGAGACTCTGTCATCCTGGGTATAGTGTGGGGGTGTTATCATAGCTCACAGCAACCTCCAACTCCTGAGCACGAGCCATCCTCTTGCCTCAGCCTCCTGAGTAGCTGGGACTGCAGACGCCTGCCACCACGGTCAGCTGATTTTTAGAGATGGGGCCTCACTCTTTGCTCAAGCTAGTGTCAAACTTGTGAGTTCAGGCAGTCTACCTGCCTTTACCTCCTAGAGTGCTAGGATTACAGGTGTGAGCCACTGTGCCTGGCCTTTTTGACTTTTTTGGTAATAATACTTAAATTAAGCACAAGAGAAAATGATGATTCAAGAGATGGAGGGAAACATGGGTTTGGTGGGGCTGCGGCAGGCATCGTCCTGTGTATTGCTTTACAGTGAAGTTTTTTTTTATTAGAAGGAGAAGTAGAAGGAGTGCACAATAAAAAATGATAAACGTGTAGGCAGCACCCGTAGCTCAGTGGGCAGGGTGCCCGCCACCTACACCAAGGCTGGCGGGTTTGAATCCAGCCCGGGCCAGCTAAACAAC